AGTAATTTTATAATAAAATGTACTTATAAGCCACATTTTACCAAACACGTCAATTACTTATCAGTCACTTATAAGTACTTTAACCAAACACGTAATTGCTTAAAATTTCAAATGCTCATAAGTTAATTTTAGCTTATAAGTAATGGTTGCTTATAAGCTAATTTTCATAAGCTTAGACAAACGCCCCCTAATTTGTATTTTTTCACTCCACTTACAAATACAAAGACAAATGACAATATATACGAAAGGTTACAAAATGAAAAGACAATTTTGTTCTTAATAAAGAAATAGACCAATTTAAGTTACAATACAACAGATTCAGTCAACATTCCCTCAACTTTTTTTTGCAAACACTGCTCTACTCAAACCTCATGAAGAACTCCAAGAACTAGTAGCTGACGAAGCCAGTTGCTAAAATGTATAAAAAGGCAACTGCGAGTCAGAGGTAAGCATCTCAGAATCATCAAAACTCACCCCTCATGCGTAGTCTCTGTAATGTTTGTTTAATAAAAAGACAAAAAAGTTAAATCAAATTGTTTCTTTCCTATTCTCTTTATCAGACCGTGTGGACACCACCATGCACCGTCCACAGAAATTTTCCAAACACTTTGATAAATCATAATCATAGTACAGGAGAAATTAAGAGACATAATTGTCTAAAGAAGAGATAAGTATCAAAAGCATAACAAATGGACAAGGAAGAAAAGGGGGGAGGACCTGAAGCAACCCAAGAGTCCTAATTGCGTTTCAGAAAATTTCAGAATTAATATTGTTATCCTAATCACGAAAATAATACATATTTTTCATTCAATTGGATGAATTAATTTGTGATCAGAAAATAGGAGAATAAATAAAGAGCTAGGCAGAGTTTAGGAGATGAAGAGACCTAGAAAATGGAAAGTTTGAGAGGTTCCTTGTTAGTGGTCATAATACTGTTTGTTTTAGTAAATTTCCAAACACCAGCCAAAGTCATTCTACAAGCCTACAAGTTTCACAGAATAGATAAAATCAATGAAATTGAAATCAATAATTTGATTAAAATTGATGACTTGTTTAGTTTAATAAAACTCCGGTAGAGATAACGGGTAGATGCAGAACAAATTCATCTAGTAAATATTTTAAGCTGATATTCTACAAATATTTGATTTTCTCCTTATGTGGAATGGGACCCAAATTTTATTGTTCCATTTTTGCTTAGCCCATCAATAATTGATGTATATGCTACATGGCCAATAACCATTCCGCCAGTCCTCATTTTCTCCAGGAAACCCCTTGCTAAGTCAAACTTGTCATGTTTACATAATCCATTTAAAAGAGCCCCATAACTGACTTCATTAGGTCTTAGTCCAACTGCTTCCATCCTAACCAAAAGACTCAAAGCTTCTTCAAAATTACCCTTGTTGCAGTGTCCATCAATTAAAGCATTGTAAGTAATACTATTTGGTGAAATATTAAGCATTGACATCTCATCAAAAACCCGAGTTGCAATCCCAATCTTTCCCTCCTTAACAAACCCATTAATAAGAGTATTATAAGTGACTTTGTTAGGAGATATCCTCCTCTTCCTCATATTTTTCAACAGTAAATAACCTTTTGAACTTCTATTGTTTCTGCAAAAATCATCAATAAGCATATTATATGTACATACATCAGCTTTGATACCCTTACACCCCATATGATCAATCAGCACAAACGCCGCTTTATACCTCCCCATCTTGCAATACCAATTGAGCAAAGTATTATACGTCACTACATTGGGAACATAACCACTCTCCTCCATCTTTCTCACTAAATAATCGGCTTTCTTAAAATTCCCTTCAACACACAAAACGTTTATCAACACATTAAAAGTAGCAACATTAGGACAAATCTTCCGAGCCAGCATTTCCCTAAAAACCAACCAAACTGAGCCAACCCCACACTCTTTCTGCAAACATCCTAACATCATATTACAAGTAAAAATCAACGGATTAAACCCTCTAAAACCCATCAACCTAAACGTCTCCAACCCCTCCACAACCATCCCTTCTCTCATATAAACCCGAATCAACAAGTCAAAAACAGAGGGATTTGAATTACAAAGAGGGTATGTATTAATCAGAGCACCGAAAACGGAATTTTGACCAATACCCATTTGAGCTAACTGCCTAAATATCACCTTGGCATCATCATACATTCTAGCTTTAACAAGAACATGAGCTGTTAAACAAAGTAAGTGAGTCAAGTGAGTGAGTTCCAAACCAGGGTTTTTCACGACCCAGTTGAGAAATTTCAAAGCCAGCTTGCCATGAACCGGTCTGAGTGAAGCTAACTTGTAGTCCATGTGGTTCAGCGACTCCCAACAGTCTATAGTGAGAAGGTTATAGATACTGTTCTCCATTTGAGAAGCTCGAAGCTCATGATGATGGCCATTGTTTAATGGTTTGGTTTGAGGTTTGTTCTGAGAAAAGGGTTTAAATTTGGGGAATTTGTGGGGGATTTGAGAGATTCTTTTGGCGGTGGAGGAAGTGAAGGAGGACATTAGTGAAGTGATTGTTCGTTACTTGTGTATACTGTCATGGTTTTTATTTGGGGAAACGGCTAATACCTACCCAAGGTTTGGAGAAATACCGATTGGTACCCAAAAGGTTTCAAAACGACAAACAGGTACCTTTTGTTAGTAAAAAGACTAGAATACCCTTTGAGAAATATTAGTTTATTTTTTAATTACTTTTAGACCCCTTAATTTTATTAATTCCATCAAATACCCCTAGAAAAAAGTTTAAAAATTAACAAAAATACCCACACTCACCCATACTTGCCAGATTCCGATGGCCACTGCTGGTGGTAGTCGAAATCTGTCACAATGGTCTACACCATCATCGAAAATGGTCGGTAATTCACTGATCTGGCCTTTCCGGCCAGATCCACCACAGATATGGCTGAAAAAGACACGAATATGGCCGGAAAAGGCCATATCTAGCCGTAGACGGCCGCAACACTCCATCTTTGGCCGTCAGCGAGGGCCAAAGATGTGACCGTCGTTGTCTGTCAACGATGACCATTTCTTTAGCTGTCACTTTCCGACCAGATTTGGCCTTTTCATGTCAGATCTAGTCTTTTCCGGCCAGATTCACTATAGATCTGGCCGGAAAAGGCTAGATCGGTGAATTGCTGGCCATTTACGGTGGTGGCCGTTGGAATCTAACAAGTATGGGTGGGTGGGGGTGTTTTTGTTAATTTTTAAACCTTTTTCTGGGGGTATTTGATGGAATTAATAAACTTAAGGGGTCTAAAAATAATTAAAAAATAGACTAATATTTTTCAAAGGGCATTCTAGTCTTTTCACTAACGGAAGGTACCTGTTTATCATTTTGAAACCTTTTGGGTACCAATGTTGTTTAGCCAAACCTTGGGTAGGTATAAGTCGTTTGACCTTTTTCTTTTCAAGAACTAGCAATTGGAGAAGGAGAAGAACAAGAAGCGATTTTGGGAATGAACGACTGACGTTTAAAAACGGTGATAATTGTTAAATGTGTAACGGCGATAAACAATAAGTTAAATAAGGATAGTGACAGGAGAACTTTATATAACGGTAACGACAGAAGAACGTTAAGTAACGAAATAGGAGAAGAATGTTTAATAACCTTAATGGTAGAAGAACGTCAATTAACGATAATGACAACGCCATGAGAGCGTTAACTAACAGCAACGACTTCGTAATTTCAATTAACGACAACGCCAAATGAACGTTAATTAACGGTTTAGCTAGTTAACAGGAAATTAATGGTTGCAGTAAGTTAACAGAAATTACTAAATTGTAACGATGGGTTAACGGGAATACTAATTTAGGACGCATGAATAGATGTATTCTGATTTAGAAAGCACAACAATTTTCACAACTAAACCTCAAAAGCTATTAAAACTTCTACAATAGTTTTTGTTAGAATAGAAGTTGTATTTGTCTTACATTGCTAAATTAGTGGACTGTTATGAAGAATATATAAGGTTAGAAGCTAGCTTTTTAGAGTAAGTTTTACCCAATCTCATTTATCACTTTCAACATAAAACACTATAATAATTATAAAAAAAAAAAATCAAAAAACTGTTTAGGGGGCTAGTAGAAGAAAGAGTGATCGTGACACTTGCATTGGAATCGAAGCACAATCTTCATCTAAAATTCAACAATTGTGCTTCATTAGAAGAAGATCTGCCTGCCTATCTACAAAATACAAACCAAATGGATTTCAGAAAACATTTATAATTGGTCTATGTCTAAAGAGTTAGGCCAGTCTCTGCAGTTACGGCTTACAATAACTTCATTGATCCATAACATGAACTGATACGGTTTACGTGATGGAAAAAATTGACAGACCTGAAACTAACAGAACGATTAATGGAGAAAATATTGGATTCAAGTCTCTTTTTTCGTTTGAGAGATCAAGTGAAGTTCATTCATTCTTTCTCGTATGGATTATAGATAAACTTCTAACCTATATTAACACAAGAGAGGTGTGCTATCTTGAACCAAAAGTAACTTAGTCTTGTAACAAGAAGAATTATCAACAGCTCGTTTTCTGCAAAGATCAACAAACCATGGCCAAAGGCAGAGCAAATCATAACCTTAGAAAGGCTTTAAGAGAATCTTCAGCAACAAAAATTCAGACATTTGAACCATAGTACAACCCAAAAACTGCAAATCTTGATTATTGCAAGGCTAAACAGGATTCCAGCATTTGAACACCAACACCAAATTGTAGAAAGCAGCAGCTAATGAAGCCAATAATAGAAACTTTCAACAAAACAAAACTCTCGTTACAAATAACTTCTAAAGTATTTATTTATTATTTTTATCTCCGTATTTAGGGAACCTTGACGGTACGAGGAAATTTTATTAATTGATTAAAAAATATACACCTAGACAAGGGGGGACATAATGAACCTTACCCTTCTTGAGAAATTCTATTACAATAGGTAAATAAAGAAAATGAAAATGCATGCAATTACATATAAATAAAAAAAGAAAAGAAAAAGAAAATATATATATATATATATAAAATCCAAAGCTCTACTTAGAAGAGTGTATTGTTGCCAACCACATCCGAATCAGCTTCATTTGTCTCATTAAAAGAAGATCTACCTATCCACAAAACACAAACCAACTGGATGTTAATGAAACCTTGTTAAACTGCATCATGTCTAGGACTTTAGACTGCAACCATAGTATCAGAAACTTTATTATTAACTAAACTTATAATCTATTTTTCTGTAATTACCTTTTAACCCTGAATATTTCAGAGAATCAATGAGATGAAGAAGCAGTTAACTTCAGCAAAAGAGATGAAACTTTCATCAACATCTATGCTTAATTCATCATAATGCGGCAAGCATGAAGTCTTAAATTCTGACTGGAATTTGTATTCCAATTCTGGATTAAATTGCCCACTTGCTTCAAAATGACTACACTGATTTCAAAATGATACATTCCATCCCATGAAAGATTGAGCTCCACCCATTATTAGAGGAAAGACTACCTGTCAACTGAGCACAAATCAACTGGATCTCTTTAATAAAACGTTGATGTTGCCTAACCTCTAAAGAGTTTCGGCCACTATTTTATAGGAAACTTTGCAGAAAGGTGCGAAGAAAGGAATCAGAAGAAACAGGACTAAAAGAAAAAAGTTTTACCTTTGCCATCGCAGCTTCTCTTAAGATCACTCACTAATAACATGAAAAGCTTTTAAGACTCAGATTCTGAAAGAATGATGTACTTCAATCATCTTCTTCCCACTGAAAAACAAAATATTAATAACGGGGAATACAACCTAATTAGTTGCAAGATGAGTGAAAGGTTAATTCACGCCACTTCAAATAACAATTTATGTGCAATGTGGTGAGCTCTGTTATTAGCCTCTGTTCTCACAGAGCTGAAAAATAGTAAAACCTATAAAACTGCTAGAACAACATTTTTACTAATTACCTCACTTTGAAACTTTGTACACTGCACTGCCACTCATGGCATCCCGGAGTTGAGACTGTTTGGTTGGTCCCTGCAAGAACAACATAATTGTTAATGAACACTCTGTTTTATGAAAATCTAATTGTTTTGATAAAATCTAATGTTGTGGGGTTCTAGAAATTGACAGACCTGAATGGCTCATAGGAATGAAATGAGGTAATTGACAGATTCAGCCTTTTTCATTCTGAATGCAAATTGACTTCATTCTTCTTCCTCTGGACCGTAAATGTACTTGGAATCTATCATAACGCAAGGGATGTGGGTTATCTTGGGCCACTCTTGTCCTTTATCCCTTTTGCAACGTTGTTTCAGCAAAGGACAATTAAAAACATTTAGTGTCAGAAGCGAGGATGGAAGGTCTGGTAAGGATGTGAGATTTTGGCAACTACGAATTTCAAGTAACAGAAGCGAAGATGGAAAATCTAGCAAAGCTGTGAGATTTGGGCAATCCTGGATCCACAAGCATTCAAGAGAGATGAGATCTTGGAAACCCATGGGAAATAGGTGCTTTAATTTTGGGAATCCATCAACTATGAGGCTTCTAAGAGAGGATGGCAACTTCATTCCCATCTCCTCCTCAGGGAAAGACACTGCATTTGGGTATCCCCCAATTACGAGTCTTCTAAGAGAGGTGAATTTGTGGAAGCCCCACCCAGCCAGTGAGTTGTAGATTTTGGGTTCACCAACATAAAGTGACGTTATATTGTCGGGAATATCTTCTTCTGGAAACAATGCCATACTTGGACATTTCGATATGGTTAAGTGTCCAACAGATTTGACGGTGTGCATGCCGCTTGGTAGTGCTTGTATCTTCTCACATCCAGAGAAACAAACTGCTGAAATATTGTTAGAAAGCACAATTTCCCGGCCCAAAACAAGACTGGAACAGTTCCAAAAATAAATTTCATTAAGATTGCGAAGAGTGTATTGGCCCTCCAGAGTTGATCCAAGAGACTTGTAATTGTCAAAACTCTCTACTATTGACTCTGCCTTAGGTGACTGTCCTCCAGATAGTAACGTCCTGAGATTTGAACAATCCCATATTGAAAGATATGTGAGTGTTGAAGGTAACTGGTATGTCGATGATAAGTGCGTAAGAGAAAGGCAGAAAAATATTACCAATCTGCAGAGAAGAGATGTGGGGGTGTTGTCCACATCTTCCTTGTGCATCAATGCATAAGAAGAAGATGGAGAAGAAGTACCATTATCCTCCCAAATGCAAACCAATTTTTCACATCCTTGTACCGAAAGGGTTTTTAGAGATGAAGGTAGTTGGCCTCTCACAATGAATGATAGAGACCTGCAAACATAGACTTCCAAGTGCTCAACACGTGGATTGTTGTGATTCAACCCCCCGTCTAATGATGTGATAGCATTACATTCCTTAATTTCAACTTTTGTTGGAATGGAAAGAAAACCATCTGGAAACAAAACAAGATTCGGAAGCTTTGCCATGTACAGCTCTTTAAGAGAGGTGAAGCTCTGGGAACCTTGTAGTGGCTTCTCAAGAAAAATCTCATTTCCCCACAAATGTGTGAGCTCTTCCCAACCAACAATTTTCAGAGTTTCTAATTTCTGAAATCCCTCCCTGGTCCAACTTCTAAACCCTGGAACATTTGATTCTTCACTATTTATTTCCAACGAGCGGAGCACTGGAAGGATTGAGAGAGAAATCTCTAATTCCTCACATTTATCAATCACAACAGTTTCCAATGAAGGAAGAGGGTTCAATGTTTGGGAGTCAATTGGACTATTGCATACCACGCCTTTGCATCTTTCTATTTCTAAACGGCAGAGCATTGGAAGGCTTGTGAACGAAACCACCAATTGCTGACAATCTCTAACCCCAAGTTTCTCTAATGAAAGAAGATGGGTAGGTAATCTTCCAGAGAGTTTAGGACATTGTGATATGGAAAGCTGTTTGAGACGAGAGAACCTTTCAGCATGCTCCTTTTCTTCAAAAGGATCCCAATGCTCCCATTCTGGCAGATTCTCAAAACGAAGAGTCTCTAGTAATTGAAAAGATTCTGAGCAACTCTCCCCATAAACCTCACAGCCTATTTTTTCAAGCATTTTCATCCCCTTGATGGTGAGGTTTTTAAGTGAGCCTAGTAGCCCAATCGAAGGCAAGGTCTTACAATTTTCACATCCATCCAATTTCAAAGAAACCATATTAGAGAATGATGGATCTCCTATCCAAGATGAAATTTTTTTGCCACAAAAGTTATTGATTGTGAGCTCTTTAAGATTTGTATGGGGCTGTAAAATGTCAAGAACAATTTTCTCAACTTCTTCGTCTTGTGAAACATAAGAAGAACTCCATTCTAGCACTAACACTTCCAAGTCCTTCTTATCACACAATATAGAATCTCTTGTTTCATGACAATCAATTGCATTCTCTAACCTTGAAATATAAAGTTCTCCACGAATAAACTTTAGTTCTTTCAAATCTTTCAAACTAGATACGACACCTTCACCCACAACAAAATTAGATAAAGTTCGAATACATTTCAGTTTTTTCACTCCCAAAGGCATTTCTCTTATAAGTCTTGCACCTCTAATATCAAGATGGTGAAGATTGACCAAATCTCCCAATTGTAAAGGCAACTTTTTGAGATGAGAACAACCTCTTAATAACAAACTTTGTAAATTGAATAGTGTACTTGTTGACTCAGGTAGATTTGTCATTTGAGTTTGAGAAAGATTGAGGTACCTCAAATGTTTTAAATCTCCGATTGAGTCGGGTAGTTCAATTGCACAATAGTTTGTTAAAGATAGTGATCTCAATTTTTTCAGCTTTGGCAATAAATTGGGAAAGATTGATAGACTTATGTAACTCGGACCATATATTGGCTTTGATGGCCCTAATATTCTTAGGAACGTCCGTAGCTGCTCAACTCCATAGAAGACTTTGAAATCCTTCTCAACTTCGTACATTCTATATGTGTAAGAAGAGTGTCGAATCCTTTCACGTCTTTCTATTTGCATGACACTCGATTCATCCTCAAATCTAAAACTCTTCTGCTGACAAATCCATTGGGCCAAATCGTGGACAAGGTCGTGCATCACAAATTTCAAACTATCATTACTCAATTGTTGAAAAATTGACCTAGACAATAACTCACAAAAATACTCGCCGCCTAGGTCTTCTAGTTGCTTCTTATGGTTTGATTGTTGAATAAGTCCTTCTGCCATCCACAAAAGTACAAGTTCTTCCTTCTCGAATTCATAATCCTTCGGAAAAATTGCACAATAAGAAAAACATCTCTTAAGATGCGACGGAAGATGATGATAACTTAATTTTAAGACTGGGAGAATATTACTTTCCTCTGGCAAATCCCAAATTTCACTGTCCAATATATCCACCCATTCATCATATTTTTGCTTAGAGCGTAAAAGGCCAGCTAGCGTTCTTGCTGCCAATGGCAAGCCTTTACACTTTTTAAGAACTTTCTCGCGAAGTAATTCCATATTCTTTCTTGCAGTAATAACTCTACTTCCAGATACATGCTTCTCAAATATGGCCCAGCAGGCATCTTCTGGCAGAAGCTCCAAGTTATAACATGCTTCTAGTTCCATTGTCGATGCAACATCTTTGCTGCGTGTAGTTACAATTATTTTACTTCCTGGTGCTCCAGCCAAGAATGGAGACTTTAGGGCTTCCCACAGGTCATAATCCCTACTCCAAACATCGTCCAAGACTAATAAGAATTTTTTCCCCGCTATATTGTTTTTGAGCTGAACCTGCACTTCATTTAAGTGTGTTAGAGTGCAAGTTGATGCAGTGATTGACTCAAAAATAGCCTTGGAGATGCGCAGAACATCAAAATCATCTGAGACACACGTCCATGCTCTTGTATTGAAAACTTTGATAACCTCTTCATCATTGTAGACCTCTCGAGCAAGTGTTGTTTTACCAATTCCTCCCATACCGACAATGGGTATAACACAAAAGTTGGCTTCACTTGATCCCTCACTTAACACCATTTGAAGTATCTTGGCTTTGTCTTTCTTCCTCCCAAAAACAGCAGGCTCCATTGGCACAGATGTACTGTCCGGTCTTTTCCATGCAGCATTTGATGTGGCTCCATCATTTCTCTCCAACCCAAGCTCAGTTCCTTGTTTGCAGAGATTCTCCAATCGGGTAGTAATACCATCTATCTTGTTCCCCATGTTGATGTTGAACTTCACAGTACTTGGAGTCAAAGCATTGCAACAAGCAGGGATAAATCTGCGTACCTTGCTAGTGCTAGCACCATCTTCTGCCTCCACCTCGTCCCCTATAGCTTCCGTCGCAAACTCATCCAAAATGTCCTCTGCATCATAAGCCAAATCTTGGAGATCATCCAGCCACATTTTCACAGCCTCGTTCTTCAGTTGCTTCTCCTCTGCATCTCTGAGCACGGCCTGAATCATTTTCAACGTTCTTTTCCACTCTGTTAGCTTTGAATCTACCCCGTTCCTACGCACAAAATTCAGCAACTCTTTGGACGCCAATCTGTCGAACAGAACTTGAAGGAAAGCAGAGAGAAAAAGCTCTGCCACAGGCATGGTGATTGGTTTGGTCTGTTCGAACGAAAGGAATTACATGAAAAGGATTATCTATCCAACAAAGGGAAGAATGAGAGCCAAAGCAAGAGAAACTAGTTTCGTTCAATAGATATGGTTGAACAGTCTTAAAACTGCATATCTATGCCATCAATAAACAGTAATTTTCTTTAGGCATGCGTTAATTAAAAAAAAAAATTGAATAATACATAAAAATACAAGAGTAAGTTCCATTGATAATTATTAAGAAGAGTGAGAGTGAAAATAAGAGAAACTGGTTTTCCGCTACGGATTCTTGAACTGTTACAAACTCAATTGCAATAAATTATAAAACTTTAAGCATGGTGATTAATTAAGATCGCTTAGACATGATAATTAAAAGTATAAATAATATGAAAACAGTAATTTAGAATTTCAAAATTATAAATTATAAAACTCAATCGCAAATACATTAAAAATGATTGTTTTGCGATTCAATTTGAAAAGTGGTGGTGGTATGAAGGTTGTTTTTCCTTACCTGAAATTTGAGATACGATGGTCTACTGGATTTCTTAACAGTCAATTCTACTAGCAAGCACTGTTTACAAGATGAAGAGGTGGAATTTGTGGTAAGAAATTAAAAGGCGAAATTAGGAGAGTTTAGGAGAAGAAGAAAAAGACTCAGAAAGTGAAAAGTTTGAGAGGTTTCTTCCTTTTTTCTCTGAACACTTTAGTACTTTACTACGAATAATAAAACAGAAAAACGGACATGCAAGAGTCACGTGTCCATTATGAGAGATGAAGAAAAAGTAAAATGAAAAATGGACAGTGTACTCATAAGCAGAGGGTCCAGATGTCTGCAATTTTGGTTTTAAAGTCTTGGCTCCACCATTGCAATAATTCAACCTCGAATCAAATGAAAGAGCTAAAAGCTTTGGTTTCTTTTTTGATGTCTTGTTTTTTTCTTCCTATTGGACCATAGTGTGTTTGTTTTAGTAAATTTCCAAGCATCAGCCGGGCATCCACCATGAAATTTCACATAAGAAATTGAACGATAATCCTGAACGAAATAGAGGTAGGAGCAAGAACAAAATATAACAGTAAAACAAATTATACAGTAAACAAAGAAAATAATATGCATGATTTGCGCTGGTTAATGTGGGTTATATTCAACTGAGTCAATATTATTGTAATATACCTCACCTCTTTCGTTTACAATGAATGAATTACCCTATAATTTGTTATCACACTCATAACAAGAGAAAAGTATGTTTATATACTAGGTTTAAGAGACTAAACCTAGTTTTACAAGAATTCCTATTCCTAAGTCCAACCCAATAAGGAATTAATAACTTAAAAGAAATCATACAGCGGTTATATATGAAAAAGCCCAAAACCGCCTACGGACTCAAGGGCGCTGCCCCTGCAACCCCCGCCCGCTGACTGTGGAGCGGGACTCCCACCCACTGACTGGGCAACGGGACCCTCGAATGCGTCTGTATGACCCATTAATGTTGAAGTAGTCGACAACTCTAACAAATCCAATCAATAATTAGATCGGTGTTTGATTAAAATTAATGACTTGATTAATTAGTGTTTTGTATGTTAATACAATTTTTTTTTAACCAATTGTCGCAACGCTGCTGTCGAGACCTTGAAATGGCCACCCAAGCATGGCTACATCATGTGCCAATTTTTGGCTATGGTGTTTGGTTATAAAACCACCATATGACCACCATCCCAATCACAAGAATACAACAAACAAAACCTCTGAATTCTTTATTTATTTATTTATTTTATTATTATTATTATTTTTTTATTTATTTTTTTGTTATCGGGGTATCTAGTTCAGCTTACGATGTATACCTCGACTAATTCTCTGACCATAAACCAGGCTAGCCTTGCAAGACAAGCAAGCAGTATTTGCAAGACGAAGGGATGGAATTTGGCGTTTGAGTTGTTGAATTTGTGATAAGAAATGAAAAGGAGAAATTAGGAGAGTTTCGGAGAAGTAGAAAGAGACTCAGAAAATGAAAAGTTTGAGAGGTTTCTTCCTTTTTCTCTCAACACTTCACTATGAATAAAGAAAAAGTAAAATGGAATATGGACAGCGTGCTCATAAAGCAGAGAGTCCGACTGTCTGCAACTTTGGTTTTAAAGTCTTGGCTCCACCATTGCAATAATTCAACTTCATAGTGGTTGCTTTTTTAAAGTAAAAGTTCATCCAATCAATAATTTGATTAGTGTTTGATTAAAATTAATGATTTGATTAATTTGTTTAACAAAACTCAAGAGATGAACTTATAAATATTGTTTCACACTGACTTCCAAGAAGCAATAATATATGTATATATGTGTTATGCCTTGGAAAATGAAGGGCTGACGTGGGAAAATCGTGTGAAGAGCGACCTGCTCCCGTTAGAGCAACACGCACACGTCAGACCTGCCACATGATATGGAGCTCACATGCGTCCATTTTTCTGCAGCAAATCGTGCGAAGTCAGCTTGGGAAGAGGGAAATGGGACGTAAAACCAGATTATATCTTGACAATCACACCAACCCATGGATTTAATGATGATTACACGCTTCAGTTTGATATAAAATGAAGAAGACCCCTTCATTAAGGGGATTCGGCCATTCTTTACATGAAATAAACTCTCTCTCTCTCCTGTAAAAAACACTTACTTTTCATAACTCTTATGTACGTCAGTCCGCTTCGCGACCTGACCCACACCAACATCAATATAAATCAGTGGACATAGGATTTGCTATCTTAGCATCCGAACCACTTTAAAAGTCTTCTTTGCATTTATTTCACTTCATATACCCATTATCACGTGTGGTAATTCATCAAATAGTAATATCTACGTGACAATTGGTTGGTGCCAAAAATGAGCATCAACAGTTTGGCACTAGAAAGAGGGCTGATTTAGTGTCTACCCTTCATCAGGAGAATCTTTGACCTACTGGTCTCACAGCTACAATGGCCAGCCAATCTGAACCTGAGCAGGTGAACCAGCATGCTGAAGGAGTCCCCCAGGCCCAGAGGGACACCCCTTCCAACATACCTCCAGTTTCGCAAAATGCCGCTGGGAATACCCCAGCAGCTCCGCAACTGGATCCTGCTATCAGAAGCTACCTGGAGAGGTTCGACAATACTCTCCAGACGGTCAACCAGAGGTTGGACCGTTTGGACCAGGGCATGTCATCTACGACAGCTGGAGCGGTACAACCGCCAAAAACGCCTGCAGGTCGCGCGAAAGAGCGGCAAAGGGAAATAGCCCGTGCCGCGAGCACTGTAGCGCGTAAGCGCAAGGGTAAGCAAGTGGCAAAAAATAAGCCTACGGGCTCCCAAGGGCCAGCGAATACAAAAGGCGCCCCGAGCAGGGTGTCGGCGAAGCTGAGACTCGGTGAAAAAGTAAACCCCGAGCTGTCCCATGCCACGTCGCAGGCAAACCCAAGCGAAAATGCTGGGCGCAATGATTCCGATCACCACCAGCAGAACGATCCCGATCGTTCCCATACGGGTGGCCCCCACATCTCGCGGGGCGGTTCGTACCACCGCGAGGGTCGTGAAAATGCCCCGCACAACACATCGCCTTCACACGCCTCTAGTCAGCGTGTGTCAAGCGCGGCTGGAAATACCGGTCGAGGCGAGGAGGGATCCGACCTCCGAACTCTCCTGAACCGCAATCGGGAAGGTCGGGCTCGCATGGGTGAAAGCAACCCTGGGTTGGCTCCGTTACCACAAATTGAGGAGTTGCAGCGAGCTCTAGACAGGTTAAGGGAGCAGCAAAACGAACAGGCGCAGGTCACCTCAACATCCCCATTTTCTCCTGAAGTGCTAGCTGCACCACTTCCACCAGGGTTCAGAATGCCAGATATGCGACCGTTTGATGGAAATTATGACCCGTAGGATCATTTATATGAGTTCAACAACCTGATGGAGCTCCACCAGGTTTCGGAGCTCGCGAAATGCCATTGTTTGGCCGTGACGCTGACTTCTCACGTCAAACGGTGGTTAAGGTCGCTCCCAGCGGGATCGATCAGTTCGTGGCCTCAGATGAGCACGACGTTCCTGCGGCATTTCCAAGCCAACCGGAAATTTTCAATGCCTTTGAGCTACCTCAGCAACATAAGGCAAGAAAGAGACGAATCCCTGCAGTCTTACATTGACCGCTTCTACAAGGAACTCAACAAAGTGGCACACGCTCCAGAAGAGTCCATCCGAACCCTTATAATAGCTGGAGTTCGCTCGCAAACTGACCTGTGGAAAGAACTGCAGGCTGAGGACGACATTTCCCTCACCGGGTTCTATAACCTGGTAGAAAAGTATCTCCGGATAGAGAATTCGCTGGCGGCACTCCGCCGTCGCGATCACGGCACTTCTAGCAGTACACCTGGTCGGGGAGATAACAGGCGAGCTGATCGCAAAGGAGACACTACCGATCAGCGAAAAGGGAAAAAACCCCGCTATGAGCAGAAAAAGTCCTATGCTCCTGTTCCTCGTCGCGATCACGACGGGGCTCAATATACTCCGCTGAATGTGTCCGTATCTGTAATCCTCGATAAATCCGAGGAGGCCAGCCTGCTCGGTGAGCCCGAACCCATGAAAACCCCTGCTACGGCCAGAAACAACAAAAAGTACTGCCGTTACCATCGGGATAATGGGCACCTCACTGATGAATGCCGAGCTCTAAAGCAGGCTATCGAAGAGCTCATCAAGAAGGGGCACTTCAAGGAGTACATTGACGACTCCCCAAAAGAGAACCAAGGGGAACGAAAGAAAAAGCGCCGTGATCGCAGCGGGTATGATAGTGTTAACATAATTTTCGGAGGCCCGCACCTCGCTGGAAACACGCGAGGAGCGCAAGAAAGATATGCTCGCGAAGCGCACCACGACCCGATCAGGGTAATGAATACTTCGCAGTGACCTCAGAAAGCCAGAAAAGAGGAACCAATCTCCTTCTGCGAGAAGGAAGCAGCTCGCTTACACCATCCTCACGAGGATGCTCTGGTAATCACGCCCCTGATAGGGTGTCATAATGTCTGCAGAATGCTTGTGGATAACGGAAGCGCTGTGAACATTCTGTTCAAATCCGCTTTTGATAGAATGAACCTGGCCGAGGCCGACCTGAAGCCAGCCTCGATGCCTCTGTACAGTTTTACAGGGGATCACCTGATCCCCAACGGAACAATCCAGCTCCCAGTCACGCTCGGCGACTACGACGAGGTGACTAGGGTTACAGAATTCTTGGTCGTAGACTGCCCATCGGCCTTCAATGGAATCTTAGGGCGACCTCTACTAAGAACTTTCAGGGCAGTCACTTCCATCTATCATCTCAAGATGAAGTTCCCCACTCCAACGGGGATAGGGGAGGTAAGCGGATCGCAAAGCGCATCTCGTGAATGCTATGTAAAATCGGTCTAGATGGCCGACAAGGGAAAGGGCATTTCGCGGTGTGCACCCCGCCAAGCTGTGGCGATCAGCCGGATCGAGCCACAGCCTAGTCCGGCGGAGGATAACATAGATCCGCGAATTCAGGAAATCCCCCCGAGCGGCCTGGTGGAGGATCTGTCCAAAGTTTCGGTTGATCCAAAAGAGCCGAGCCAAGTGCTAAAGATCGGAAGCTGTCTCAATCCTCAGCTCGCTTCCGAGCTAGTAAGCTTCTTGAGGGAGAACATTGATGTGTTCGCC